AAAAAGATAAAACCAAGCTCAGGCGACACGCCAATCAAATCAGGAAACTAGCTCAAAAAGGAGAAGGTTGGCTGATTAAGCGCAGTCACCTCGAACAAACAGGGGGTTCATTTCTTCCTCTACTTCTCTCCACCGTAGCATCCGTGATTCCTAGTCTGTTCAAATGAATTATGTTAAGAAAATGATTCTTGTGCCTCACGAGAGTGTGGCTAAGCTAAATAACCCTACGCCATCTACGGCGCAAACTCAGTCGAGTTCGCTCGATTCAGAAATGGATTTGATCATGCGCCAAAAATACGCTGATGATTCAGAAAAATGGAAACATTATAACAATGTACTTCAGCGATATCTCTTTTTCATGAGGGAGCGCCAAAAACCTTTGCAAATATCCTTGGAAGATGCTAATACGAGCATTCCAAATGAAGATTTCATTCGTCAACAGGTCGCGGCAGCTCTCCCAAAAACATATAAAGCGCCTGCACTAAGAATCTTCGATTATTTGAGCCAAGCAGACTCACAAATTACTTGGGATTCCGCAGGCACCGTATCTATTAATGATCAACCTGTTCCTAACTCGAATATTATTGATCTTATATCAGACCTTACACGCACTCGTAAAAACTTTGAACCTGTAGGAGTTTCTGGTTTTATTAAAGCCCTATCTTCCATAAATATTCCGTTGGAACTTGTTCCCAACTCAGTTCGTAGGAAGGAAATTATCGAGGCTCGTAATCAGAGTGGTTCTGGTATCAGACCAGTTAGAAATAGTTCTACCATTAAAGTGGTAAATAGTAGAGGGTAGCGTAAAAAAAGGATTTGACATACTGAAATGGCGGGTATGCGGAAAAGTTGTCTTTTTAGATGTAGAATCCAGTGCAATTTTTTATTTTGAGATCGGACAAGATTTGCCGATCGCGCAACGAGTTCAAAGTTATGCATTAGCTCTTATGGGAAAAATCATCCAAAACCATGAAAAAATGAAAATCGAAAATTTGGGCTTTGTATTTGATGTTTTCTGAAAATCTGTTTTCAGAAATGCAATCTACGCCATAAAAGGCATCCACTGATGTGTCACACTTGATATTATAGTGAGCGGTTCAGTGCCGGCCAGGTATCAATTTAAACCCAAATTGCATCAAATAGCACAAAAGTCATCAAATTATGCAGCCTGCACCGCCTAAACCATGGGTTGCAATGTCAAGTGTGATACATCACCGGGTGCATTTTTTGGCGTAGATTGCATTTCTGAAAACAGATTTTCAATAAACAACACGTACAAAGCCTAAATTTTTGATTTTCATATTTTCATGGTTTTTGACGATTTTCCCCATAAGAGCCAATGCTTAACTTAGAGCTCGTTGCGCGATCGGAAAATATTGTCCGATCCCAAAATAAAAAATTGCACTGGATTCTACATCTAAACGGGGCTCTTTTTCGGATTGGTTCTGTTTTCATATCTGTTATCCTTTTTTTTCGCTTTCCTGTGGTAAATAGTGGACGTGTAATAAAACAAAAGAGAACGCAAGGTATAACGAAACAAATAAATAAAAATGCCTGGAAAACTTGGTAAAGTTTACCATGATCCCGCCCACCCCGCCTCGTATGGGAGTGCGTGGAAATTGTGGAACGCCACCGGCGAGAAAAAAGAA